CATTAAAAGCCACGACGAAAGAGAGATTCTGATTCGCGATAACGAATTTAAATTCTAAGCGATTAAAATAGGGCAATTATGTGACTTGTTACTTTTTAAAGCTACGCTTTAGTAATGCGCATGTAAAAAGAAATTTAAAAAATACATTGTAGAATTGAAAAAATGATTTGGTTAAAAGATTTACAATTTTGCTGGATACAGATCTGAAAATTAAAATTTTGTTGAATCACATCAAAATAATTATGTTGGAAACTATATAAAAAAATGATGAGCTACAAAAAAATCTTGATATTCCAGCAATCACAATTTGAATTGGGTACAAAATTATTTTTTTGATAGTTCGACAAAATTATTTTTAAATCCAACAAAGGATTTTTTATTTTTTGCAGAAAAATAATACTTATTATTATCTTTCTAAATCACGGGTGTATCACGTATATATCTGTTAATATGTATACTATGCGCAAAGTTATCTCTAAACATAGGTAAAGTCACAAATTTATGAAACATTTATGCTCAACAATACCTTCCTTACTACACAATCGTTTTCGAACATTCAAATGCTGTATAAAAGACAAATAAAATCATCGTCTGGAGACGATCAAAAATTGTCACTGTATAATCGTTAATGATAAGAAAGGGCAAAACACTGCTTTCGTCGGAAGGAAAAGTATCGACAGAACTGAGTCTGGTTTCTAATGATCGTCGTCATGTCGATCGTGCTTTATGTCGTCCCTCTTACATAAACGCGCTTAATTTGCGTGAACGAGGCTGTAAATTGTACCGATTCAAGAACATGAGCGAGGATGACGCCCATGGGCTCTCTCTCTCTCTCTTTCTCTCTCTTCCTCTTACCTTCTTCATATTTCCCCTCTCCCCCTAACTTTCAGCCCTCCGTCTCAATTTCTCTCCTCCTTCACCTGGCTACGAACGCAGAAGAGGCATCCCCCGAGATTACCGCTCCACTCGTTACTACCTACAACGTACTTACGTTACTTTTAGAACTGCTTATTACTGTGATTACCGGCGCATAATGCGGCGACCGAGCCGTTCTACAATTTATTATTGAATTGCTATAATACGGACTGACCGGCATTGCCCGGACGCGCTGACATCGTTATATACACGTTGTTGTGGAAAACGCGTAACGCAAATCATGTTTCTTTAGTAGACAATTCATGATAACAATTCTATTCATCACGAGTCAGATATCGTGAGCCAATATTATTCAGAATGTTTCGCATTCTTAAACGAAAGTGATCGAAACGATTTAGAAGAAAATGCGAGTTTTGTTGCAAATTTTTAATAATAAATATCGTAGTTTAATTATTAAATTGCAGATTGGTTAAAATTTGCTTGAAATTAAATAAGAGATAGATAAATGCGATTACTCTATTTATAAAGTAACAGTTAAACTTCATTCTTCATATCAAGTGCAATTCTAAATTTTTTATTTTAATCCTTTATTTTTTAACATCGATTGCAAGTAATGTGTAGAATAGTAATATGTCATTAAAAGTCAACGTTGTGACAATGAAACTGTACGCTAAATATTTTATTCAATATTAATTATTTAGAGAAGAAACTTAATGTATGAGCAAAAAAAAGCATTTTCATAAGGAAAATGTATTCTTTTGTTCAATGAAATTTTCCAATAAAACATATTTTTAATTGCATCTTATAAATTCAAATTTGTTGAGCGCACATCTCATATTTTCAGTCAATTAAATTTCAAAGCAAATAAATCCCAACAATCTACTTTTTTATGTGTCCTTGTATTATTAGATTATCAATTGTTCTGTAAAGAAATTTTTAATTCCAATATTTTATAAAACATTTAACAAAACGTTTCTTTACTCCGTGTATATAATCGACAGAACGTTCCAAGGAATTTTTCCTCTTCGGACGACATGAAATGCGGAAGAGGATGCCTAAGGCGTGGACTGTGGTGAACTGCACACGTGTGTACACACGGAGAAACACACACACACACACACACACACACACACACACATGCATACATAGATGGTCGAACGCATCGGACAAAATGACCGGTCTGGCTATCTATCCGCCTATTTCGATGCTATTCATTGTTACTTTCATGCGTGATTGGCCGCACTCAAAAGTGGTTACACAAAATAACACATCCAAATCGAACATCGTAAGCCGCACATGGGGAAGCAGACTGATTTCTCAAGTCGCACTAAATTGCATTTTCTCGCAAAGTACACGTTGCGATACACACAAAAACAATCGTTCGAATAACACAAAAATCCATGAGAAATTTAAGACATTTAAAGAATGTTTAAAAAATGATTTTCTAGAATAGAAATAGGCGCGAGATTGATCTTTAATTGATACAATCTTTTAAAAATAAGAAAAGAAATGATATTATTTATGATCAAGAGTTAGATAATAATATAATAATATAGTATTAATTACAAAATAACATATTAATATTAAACAAGAAACAAACATTGCAAATTTAAATTTTAAACGTTCAAATTGTTGTATTCTAATTTACGAATTAAAATTGAAATTCTAATTAATTGAAATCTTCTTAATTAAAATTCTAAAGAGCTTATCGTTTTTTTATACACTTTTCGCTGTTATATACTTTTAGACACAAGAAATATTGAAAAATGAAAATAATAAATAAAAAATAAAGACGTATTTGTATATCTAAAAAATTTAATTTACGATAAAAATAATTTTAAATCTTACTAACTCTAAATACAAAAAGTTTACATAGAAAATCTTTAAATAATTAAGTAACTGAAAATTATACAATTATTTACATAAAAAACTAATTTATAAATTTATTATTAATAGTTGTTTTATACAATAAGAAAAGAGTTAGAACTAATTTATATTTTAAACTTTTTTCTTTCTGTTATATTTTTTTTTCGGTTTTTTTTCTAATAATTTAAATTTTTAACATAATATACAATAAAAAAATATAATGAAATATATACTTTTGTATGCAATTTTGGACAAATTTAGCTAGCCTATCAGATGCATCAAATATTATATTCGATTGGTTCTTACTTTTAAGTCCAACCAATTATATTCAAGTGCTACTTAACTGCGTGCGATTGCAAACTGGCTGCACTTTAAAGCACATGGTATAACTGATCATAACCTTCAAACGAGCGCGCTATTGTTGTCAAACACATTGTTCAAAGTGAATATTACATAAAGTTTTTCTTATAACAATCGATACGTGATACAATCTTAAGCAGCAAAAATGTTGCGGAGACAAGCACGATTACGTCGAGAATACCTCTACAGAAAATCCGTGCAGGATAAAGTGAAAGGTATCCAAGAGAAGAAAGATAAATTGAAACACAGTTTAGAAGAGAATATACCGATCCATCCGGATTTAAGGAAAAGCGCATTACATGTGCAAAGGAAGATCGAATGGGAGGATGCTGGACCGGAGATGGCAGTGGCTATGGGTACGGAGATGGGCGGTACCGTGGTCAACCACGAGGATGACGAGTATCGCTGGGCCGGTGTGGAGGATCCGAAGATCGTCATCACGACGTCTCGTGACCCAAGCTCCCGGCTGAAGATGTTTGTGAAGGAGCTCCGTCTGATATTTCCAAACTCGCAGCGAATGAATCGTGGTAACTATGAGATGAAGCAGCTAATCCATGCTTGTCGTGCCAATGATGTCACAGACTTCATCATCGTGCACGAACATCGAGGCGTTCCTGATGCTCTGGTGATATGCCATTTGCCGTATGGACCGACAGCCTATTTTACATTATCCGGTGTCGTAATGCGACATGACATTCCTGATATTGGCACAATGTCGGAACAGTATCCACATCTAATCTTTCATAATTTTAAAAGCAAACTAGGGGTAAGAGTAACAAACATACTGAAATACCTGTTTCCTGTGCCAAAAGAAGACAGTAAGAGAGTAATTAGTTTTGCTAATCATGATGATTACATATGTTTCCGACATCACACGTACAAAAAGACTCAGGGGAAGAATGTTGAATTGACAGAGGTTGGACCACGTTTTCAAATGAAATTATATGAGATTAAATTAGGAACTCTGGATTCTGAATCAGCTGCTGACACAGAATGGGCTTTGAGACCTTATATGAATACAAGTCACAAAAGGAGATTTCTGTCTGATGAAGATGGTTGGCAACAAGAAGATAATTTAATTTAATTCCGATATGTCTGTATATCTATGTACATATATCGATCATTTAACTTTGATGTGTTTTATAAAACAGCATTGACATTTCTCTATTAATACATTCCTGACTGTACATATAATAATATATCAAAAATTTCTTGAAACAATGTAAAAAAAAACAATAGATGAATTATATATAAAATAAATGAATTATATAAAAAATAGATAATTAAAATTTACTATTTTATTACTATTCCAAAATTACCGTTTCAATATTATTTGAGAGAAATAATATAAAAATATTTTATATAAAATTATATATAGTAATACAAATTATCATAATTCTCTCCATATATAAAAAATAATAGTTACTTTTGTATTTTCAAGATCTAGAAATAATAAATTAATTTTGAAAGTGTTATATATGTATATGTTGGTATTTTAATTATTTATATTTATATATTTCAACTATTTTTTTATATTGCATTACATTTGTGTATGTATTAACAACTTTATCATAATATAAATGAAGATATTATTTGACTAAAATTGGTATCCGGCATTTTATCGTCGCAGATGCTCAATTGATTAATATGTATGTATGTACATATAAAATTGTACTTTACATATATGTATTGTATGAACGGTAAATACATTACTTATATTATGTGAATAAGCGTTATTAAATATATTTTAGTTCAAATTTACAAATTATCAGCAATATAAAAATTTATGAGAAATCTCTCTTACAATTGTCAGTTAGGAAAGAAATGCTACAAGTAAAAATAGCAGCAGTTATAGTAAAATAATTGTTATTACCACAATTCGATTATCTTTTGATTACCTTTAAAGTTCTTCTGAAGGTAGCCTTAATGCCAGAGATTCCATTATACTGCCAGAGATCGATTATTGCCGAAATTCCGGGATTGTTAGTGCCTTATAGTTGGCCTATAAAAAAATCAGATACAGAAAAGTGAGAAAAGCCGACGTTATCTGTATGAACTGTAATTTTTTTTAAAAAATCATCAAAATTTAGAGCGATTAGTCGAAGATTTTTCCACCTGAAGTCTGGAGTATACCGGTCAAAATAGAAATCCTAGAAAGCACGATTATTATATACTTTTATCCAAATGTCCAGAAGACGTCATAAAGTGTTATCTGGATAATAATGGCCGCTTCATATTAATGCCGGTTCGTATTAACACACATAACGCATTTCTCCAAGGAATGTCTCAGGACGGTTCCCTTGGAAAACTATATTATATGAAAGTGTGAATAATTTCTCTATTCTTTTCATATACGTCTTCCTTCTTTCTTGCTCGATAATTAATAATTTTTACCATCTCGCGGAAAATTTTATATCATTAGAACATAAAAACTACCGATCAGTGCGTAAAGTGAATTTTGCTATTCGAGATTGCAAATGGCAGCGGTGCTCCCGAATTCCGATCGTCGGTTGAGAAAATGCGTGACTACGAAAAAGACAATCATTTCGTCAGGTACCTATGAGCAGTCGCATGACAAATGAAGATCTCAAATCAATCCTCGATTTTCGTATAGATTTCGTCCTTTCTTTGCTGACTGTCGATAATATTTGCGATCGCGACGCGGGAGAAACATTTCGTGTGGCGCGAATCGTTAGAAATTTGTCGAAACTGGCGTCTCGCTTGAAGTTAGTCGCGCACTTCAAATTAATCGGAAGTGGCGACACATTTCATTATCGTAGATAACGAAGACGCGCGATGAAGCGGATAATAATTTTATTACGTATTTATAGGCAACTATTTTGTTTTGATATTTAACAAACAAATCATATATTGTATTTTCCACAAACCCTTCCCTTCTTTTTTCTCGATTATTAAAACAGATCATCTTCACGTTTTTCATAACGCGCGAAAAAGATTTCATATTATGAACCGCGGTATAATATAAGTACATAATTAGCGCCTCGTTTAAAATAAATCGGGCGATTCAATATCGCGATTCCTTTAATGCAATATTCGCATATTAATAAAATCTTTTTTCTTAGCAATAATCTTTGATTAGTAATTAACTTTTACATTTTTCGATGCGCGAAAAAAATCTAATATTTCAAAATTAAAATTAATTGAAATTTTGAATATTTTCTAGCAAGGACACAGTAATACAGTGAATCATTTCATCCTTCTTCAATATTAGTAAACAATAAGGATATAATGTACCGTATTATACTGTGTTTTTACCGTATTGTACTGAAAAACGCTCTTTACCTGTAAACTCCAAATAAACTACACAGTAAAATTGTATTCTATTAGGAACGGTTTACTCAAGTTTTTGTTAAAATTTTGTGTTGAATTTTTAACGTATAAATTATATGGAGTGTTAATTTAATATAATGTAATTGTATTATTGAAATATTTTGTATTAAACTATGATTCAATATTTCTTGTTGTTAAAATAACACAATTTATGAGTAAATAAACAAATAATAAAAATAATAATTTTAAAACATAAATTCTAAGATAAATGTGTCAATTTAACATATCATAAGTGTTAAATTTATCGAAACATATTTAATTCAACATGTTATAAATGTTAATTTAATAAATAAATATTATAGTTGCTTATAAATTGTGTTTGTGTTACATTTCTGTGTTAATTTTTTAAATTTAATATTTATGTTGCTTTCCATGATATATTCCTCTTTCATTAAATAAATTCTAAAATTTAAACGGGATATCGTTTGAATATCTATTAAATTTAACACACATTTTCCAACCGTGTAGCGATTCGTATTTTACGTGGGTCACATTCAAAATCCTGCGCGCTGTGCACCAAATGCACATCTTTTAAGTGAGCTGTGTAGCATTTGTCTTTGCAAAGATCGTGTAAATAAAAAAAAAAACGCCTTAGAAAAAGACTGCCGTGATATAAATGATAAATAGCCGGCGATCATATTTCCATGCAACAATCCCGTAAAAAAATATTAGCGTGGAGAAGTGTCAATACTCCGAATTGAATGCCGCGCCACAAACGCGAGGAGTGACGAGCCCGCGAAATCGCGACGGCGGCGGCGCAGCGCGCGCGTTCAGCGCGTTCAGCGCGTTCAAGCGGCATCTTGGCACTCTTGGCAGCGGAAGGACGCTATGGATGTGTTCGGATCGTCGAAAGTACGCGCTCAGAAGAGTGACGGTGAGCATTGGTTTTTCATCACGTTATTGAAACTGCATCGTACAGACTGTTTGCTTGCTCGCTGATATCGCTTGCGGTGCATCGCATGATCTGGTGCGCGCGCTCGTAGAGAACTCTCGGAACTCTCTTTCTGTAACATTCATTTGCATTATATGTAGGTGCTAGCGCTTCGGCGTATATGGCGGATAATCGTCGTACTAACTGCGCGCCGTGAACATGAACCATTGTTGTGAAAAAACAAATACAAATTTTCATGAGATCGAGCTAACCTCGATCGCGCCGAATCACCTTTCTGATCTTTCTGTGTGTCCTATGACTTTAAGAGATCAACGATCACTTCATTTTTACATGCTGCTTAAACATTTCTGCAACTTATTGCGTATATCTGATGAATGGACTTGATGAATGGTAAAAATAAACAATTGGATCAGGAATGTACAAATGTCTATCATTGAGAGAGCTTCATTCATCTTAAATTTGCTTACATCTCATTGTCGTCTCCTATTTATGAAAGTGGTTTAATTGAATAATTATTTTTCATAAAAACATAATGCAGATTTCTCAAAGAAAAGAAGTGAAGCAAAGTGAAGTGCGAGTTGTACTGCGACTGGCTGCCCACATCTTTAGTAGCTGATACATTGTAGCCTGTATAGAAGTAGTATTTCTGTACTGTGTCTATCCTGACTCTATAAATGTTTAAGCCTGGTAGTTAGCTATTGCAAAGTACATTGGACCCTTTCTTTTTTTTGGCAAGGTGCAGTCTGCTTTATCTTTCAGATCTAGAGGTCACGGGTATCTCCCGTAGTGGTCGCGTGAGGAAGAAATCTTCCAAGCTCGTTGACTTCGAATCCGATGATCTTACGGAAAATAAACTCAAGCGACAAAAGGCACAGCAGCTGCAAAGTCAACAGTTCTTAGATCAATATGAAGTACAACAGCAGCAACAGCAGATATTGCCCATGCAATCTACCCAAGTGGGTAATATTGGACAACAGAGAAAGAATTCTGGCTCGATTCATATGCAACAAAGGCTTAAGATGGAACCTCTGTCTGATAATGAAGGACAGACGTCCAGTTCAGAATCCGATGATCCCTCTGGGATAAACGAGGATGAAAGTATAGACTCTGGAAGTGACGAAGTAGATCCTCTTTTGATTGACGAAAGAGAAATGGGATTCAGAAAGCTGGAACCACCACTAGGTCAGGAAACACCATCACAAGCAAATAGTTTATATATGCTTGAAAAATCTAAGAAAAAATTGGTTATTAAGGATGGAAAAATTGTAGGCAAAACAAAATCCCAACGCAAAGATAAAGGGGTACGTACTATTGAAGAATGAATATCAAAGGAGGACTTTAATTTTTTGATATTTTTAGAAAACGAGATTTACTGCTTATATGCTATGGGCAAAAAAAATTAGACAAGAACTGTTAGAGCAATCTCCTTACATGGGTATCAGAGCTATATTTTTTTCCTTAAGTTATAAATGCATGCAATTTCGATGTTGTTTATTGATTGTTGCTTTTTGTAGATTTTGCGGCAATTTCTAAGCGATTAGGAGAGCTGTGGGCTACAGTACCACATCTGGAAAAATATAATTGGCGCAGACGTGCAAAGCGCTTAGCAGCAAAGCCTCATTCTTTACCAGCAAATAAAGATGAGCCTGTTTGGAAAATGCCACCACCCGCCTCGCGAAAAAAATTCATTAATAAAATTGGTGGGTTTATTGGTTCTTGTATATAGACAATGTATGATTTGTATGTCATGTTGTGTAGTTTATTTCCACTTTTTTCTCCATGTGCATGTGCATTAGCCAAAAATGTGAAATCGGATATATATCTATCGTGTGATTTTTGTAGTTATTAGTTTGTCTCTTGTACACATGTATCATTTAATATTCAATACAGCATTAATAAATTATTTTGTATATGTTGTATTTCAGGTAATGGGAAAGAAACAAAGCCTGCTTCTACAAGGAAAACTATTCAACTCGGCGTACCGTCTGTCGTTGGAAATGTTTCAATCTCACCACCGTCAAATCGTTCCAATAAAGATCTAGTTAACGAGCCAGTAATAGGCACGGGAATGTATAAAGTCGTTGGAACGCAGCCAATTGATGTTGCAGCTCATCTTAAATTGCTTGGTGAAAGCTTGACAATCATCGGAGAACGTTTGAAGGAGCACGATGGTCAAATAGCTGTTTCCGGTAGTCTTTCAGTTCTACTGGATTCATTGCTCTGTGCCTTAGGTCCATTAATTTGTTTAACGCAGCAATTGCCGGAAACTAATGGAGCTAAACCTGAAACACTTTCTCAAATGCTCGACAACATTGCTTATCTTATGCCTGGTCTATAATGTACAAAATGTGTAAAATATATTCATAATAATGTAAATAGAAAAGTAGTATGAGAAATTAGATATAAAAAAATATATATTCTACGAGCGTGAAAACAAAGATAATGTTTATTTAAAAATTTAATCTTAAAGACAGATTCTCGTTATATTTCGTCTACTGTCACATAGATAAAAAAACATTATGTTTTATATAAATAATATATTTGTATAAAAGTTACAATAAATATTTAAATAGTCCTGTATTACATAAGTTACTGTACAGGGAATATAAACATAATATCACAATTATTGATTATCTGTAGGCAAAATAGGTGGGCACGTACAAAATAGATTCTTATCGCCATATATGTCATCTATCCTTCCAACGCTTGGCCAAATCTTGTTGCTTCCTTTTACAAATGTCTACAAAATTACAAAGTAATTATTATGAATTAATATATATTTAATACAATGTTCACATATAAGATTCTTACAGCAGGAAAAGCTGCCAATTCTCGCGAATATGGTCGATTCCATTCAGTTGTTATAACTTGCTTCTGCGTGTGAGGTGCCATTTTTAAAGGATTCTGTGCAATATCTAATTTTCCTTCTTCAATATCCGCAATCTCTTTTCTTATAGCTGTCGAGAAATACAAACGTGAATGAGACGATAAGAATGCTTGCCATTAAGATATTTTAAGCATTATTCAAATTTTTTTAACTTACAGATTAAAGAATCGCAAAATCTGTCCAACTCAGTCTTGT